AGTCTCTCGATCAGATTAGAAATTTAGAACTATAGTCACAGTACTAGAATTGCAGTTTTAACCACTGTACCTGTTTCCCTGTGTCTCATCTACCTTTGTCCCTATATCCTACATTTTCAAGGCAAAATCATTCTTTTGAGCAATACATCAGATTCCCTTAAAGAGTGTTGTAAGAAAATGTATCATAACATTTTGAAAGAAGGAAAGAGCAGGCTCAAACTTTTAAGTAGCAAAACTAATCTCAATATCCAAAAACTCAAGAGAAAAAAAGAAAAGGCACATGAATGGCATTCTCATCCCTTAAAAGACCTATAGTTTTCAGTATTAACTCTAATTCAAAGCTCTTTTGTAACGTGTGCAGGAAATTCAAATGTTTGTGGAAATATTTATCTTTCAGTTTCACGTTTCCAAAAATCTTTTGAAGTCCTCTGTTAATGGATTATTTTTCTAAAAAGCACCAACTTAAATCCTTACCATATATTTAATTCAAATGAATTTTTTATATCAACTGCATATTCAACATTTTCCTGATAAAATAAACATATGTATCATTATAACAAACTGTTTAATATCATTTCAGAGTGAGCCATTCCAAGAGTGTCTGTTTTAACTGGGAGGACTATCCCGTGGGACCCAAATGATTAACCACTTAGGAGGCCAAACCCCAGAGGTATCTTCAGAAGACAGGGTTGACAATCTGCTTCCATTAGTATTTAATTTAAATTCAAGGTCACATCCTTAAAATCCCTGAAGAGCAGTCAATTCTTTCACTGGCTCCAAGTCAATGGACAACAAAGCATGTTATTACAAGGGACCGATCCCTGGGGAAGGACGTCACCCTTGGTAAAGTCGAAGGTCAGGGAAAGAGACCTACAACAAGATGACTGACACAATGGTGTGCTACTGTGGACAGCAACTGTGAGGAGGAAGGAACAGAGTTTCATTCTGTTGTCTATGGGGCACTGACTGACCAACAACACAATAAACGTCGGTAGGGGTGACGCACACGTTTAGAACACGTGGAATTGCTGAAGCATTAGGGATTTTTAAAAGTCACTTATAAAGCAGAAACTGAAATGCTCTCTAGCCGCGGCTCCATGTATCTGCTGTAGGTGGGCCAATCAACCAGACCTAGATGCAAAAATTTGGCATCACATATAAAAACAAAACAAAATATGTAATTAGTTGTAACTGATTTATCTGTTGGAGTGTTAGAATAGCTCATCCAAAAAAGGTTAAAATTTTGCATGTACAGTAATTTAAGCAATAACTTACTTTTCTTTCTTTGGTTTGGTATTGATATCTCCTAGGACCATGATGTCCGAGAAGTCTATCCGGAACTTGCTAAGCAAAGTAGCCATCCTAGAACGGAATGAAGAGCAAGGAGACGCGTGAAAGATACGTGTCAGTATTTATTCTATGAAGGGCCGAAGCACGTCGGAAAGCCCTGTGTGGGCTCACGTCCACTCATGTCACCAGTACTTCGTCCATCTGACTTAAATATATGCACAACATAGGCTCTGAAATCCCCCGAGCAGAGATTTCTGTTATATTCTTTTTACTTTCTCTGAATCTCTCTAAGGGATAAATGAATGGAGAGAGCAAGGTTATTAATAATGAACCCTGAATGACATGGCGTTATTTTTATCTACATTTTATTTATATTATATTAATAAGTATAAAGACTTCCAAAAAAGAGCAAGCAGTTATGTCTTTAATTAATTTTGGATTATTCTTTCTATCAAAGAAGAATGTACATGTCAGAGCCCACATATGACTTCTGAGTTGGAACTAAACTGAAGATGGTCGGTTCGGTTTAAGTGTGCATGTGTGTACATATGTGTTCTTGCATGCATTACGTATCTCCGTGGGGTGGCTGTGGAACTAGGGCGGATGGAGAAGGGAAGCACAATAAAGCTCGGATTTTTTTGGGAGGAGTAGCTGGCAATGACACATTAGGAGCAACAATACTGGAGGTGAAATACACACACAAAAAGCCATCAAAAAAGGATTTAATTTTTAAGGGAACAGTTACAGTGAGTGAAGACATAAGATTATTAGAATATAGAAGTTTAATTTTTATGTTCATTCTAGTATTTCTTGCATAATCCAATTTTTGAAATGAGTAAGCACTTAGTTAAACTTGGCGTCATAAAAGAGTGTCTTGCTATATGCAAGGTAATGTGGCAAATATTATCCAAACAACACAGGCTATCGAGTTGATTCCATTTCACAGTGACCCTATATAAGATTTCTGAGACTGTAAACATTGACAAGAGTAAACAGGCTCGTCTTTCTCCTTGTTGATAAACATCACACAACTGAAATTTAAGATGGGAAAACAATTAAAGGCAGAATGTAATGGGTGATATCAAATGGATTGTGATTTAGGAAGGCAATAATACAACAACTAGTAGAAGGCTAATGGAGGAGAAAATTAGGGTAGGCTTTATGGAGATGGTGAGCACTGGGCTTGACTTTCAAGAATGGAGCATTTTAACACAAAAGAGGATTGGGGAAGGAGTTTGTGACACTGGGCACAGGCGTAAAAGCCTGAAATCACATGCATGTCCAGACGTATGAACATAGCACAGCCAATGCCTGTGAGGATAAGAGCGGACAATGAAAAGGGACTAGGACAACAGAGCAAGGGTGAAGGGCCCTGAGTGCAACTAAGTTTTCTGTCGTACATAATGGAGATGTCACTGTTCAAAGTATCTTGAGCAAAATAATCCTGTGAACAGGGCTCTGCTTTCCAAACACGAACCTGGGAGCCCTGTGGAGAGAAACCAGGGCCAGGCTGGTGGCAGGGAGGGAGAGAAGACAATGCGTGGCCATGGCATCCTGCTTTTCTGCCGTCCAGAGGTCTACAAAATGCATCTTGCATGGAACATAAACTCTTTGCATACTTTCTTTCCCAAATGAAATTAAAAGCCGCTTAACGCTTTACTTTATGTTAGAATATTTAAGAGACCTACAAAGGCAAAAATGCTTTCAAAAGTTACATATGATTATTACAATGAAGGATCTGAACTGACAGCGTGAAGACAAAAATTAAAAGAGGGGGGCATACTTTCTTAGCTGTGATTTTTAGCTTAATTACAGAACAGAAGACGGTTGATCTCTTTTGGATTGTCTCATTTTTATCTGATCAAATCTATCCTGTGTAAATGAAGTACTACTGGGTAAAGATAAACTTTAAGATGACTTACGCTCTCCGGTCGTGGTCTATTCTATTTATTTTTCCTCCAATGAATACTCTAATCTTACAGTCTTTCCATTTTTTCTTCGTAGTCAGAAGATAAGGTATCAATAAGGTCAAGCCTGAATTATAAAAACACAACCGATCATTTATTAAATGCTAATATCTCAACTAAGAAGTTTTTAAATGTTTAGCCTCTAATATATATTTAACACACTTCAATGTAAAATGAAATTCTGCCCGTGTTTATTAACTCAGTGAAAGATCATTGGGTAGGTCTGAGCCAGGAGGTTAACCCAACAGAGTGAAGGGCCCACTTGAGGGCGGGAGCCAAGTAGAAAAGTGGTCCAGCAGCTGGGGGATGGGCGACATCTCCCAGGAGTTGAGAAAATAAGCACATTCACCTAAGGGGAATCGGTTTCTCAGTGAAATGAGGGAAATGAAAGAGGACAAAACGCTGAACTCTGCAGGGTTGGCCCAGAACTGGTTTTCAAATCTCTATCTAAACACACAAAAAACGTATCTATGTGTACAAGGGAGCTTCAAAGGTTCATGGAAAAGTGGAATTGAAAAGGAATAGAACTTTCCCAACTTCCCGAAGCTCCCTTGTATTTCTTAGCACTGTCCTCTAAGAAGGCCTTGGAGAAATGACATCCTAATAGTCCTGAGTGTCCCTTGTGCCCCAGTCTTTCTTTCTGAACACCATCCTTGGGGAAGGAGCGAAAGCTCCTTGGCTCGCTCCACAGCTAGAACAGAGAAAGCACCCTGCCGAGGCTGGCACATCTTATTGTGTCAGAAAGTAACAGAGGCATGGCAAAGGACACTGGAGCCCGCCTGGCACACAAAGTGGACCTCTGCTGTTCGGATTTGGAACAATTTGAACATCGAGACAAACAATGTAACAAAGTACGTCTCACTGAATAAAACAAGAACCAATGACTTCACTTTGACAGAAATGGAGAAAGCGGTTTCCAGTTGGCGGGACTGGAAAAACTGCCACTGGACAACAGTGAACTCAGGCAAGAGACAGCATTGGATGCACAGGACAGTGGCAAATCTTTACATAGTTGCAAAGAAATTTCTTCCCAAATATCTGTAATTACAAAGGAGGGAGGCCAGTAACTTTACAGGGAAAACCACCTTTGTCTCAGTGGTGAAAGCTAAGGTCACCAGTGAGTGGACAATAACTGCATGTCGTCAGTAGTCAGAAGAGTCCAGCATCAGTTCTGAGTCCTTCCTCTCAAAATATATAACCTGACAGTAATTATAATGAAACGACAGGCAGTACTCTGACCTGAGTGCCACTCTAAGATTAAAATAACAAGGTCATGAAGGTCAAAGAAAGACTAAGCCAGTGTTCCAAACAAAAGGACATTGAAGAGACATGAGAGCTATGTGTAGCACTTGATTCTGAAATGAAGCCTTGGCTTGGGGAATGCTAGCAAAGCCCGGATGAGCCTCTGGGGGAAAGCACATAAGGTCTCTTACTACTATTTTCACAAATTCAGTCAACTTGAAATTATTTAAAAAGTGTATTAATCTTACCTCCATCATCAAAAAGCCACCAGACATCAATAGTGTTCTTTCCTTGTTTTTTCTGAAACTGTGTACTAGCTTCAAGGAGTTTTTGGTCAGCTACATTTAAAGGCACAACAGGGCCTTTAGATTCTAAAAGATTAAGCAAAAACATGAGATGTAAGGGAGGTTATATTAACTCCTCCTTTGCTGAATTCCTAGAGTATCCTAACTTTCATATATTCTAATATGTTTATATTACATGGAGATATATCCACACCATAAGCTGTCAGATGTCTACATCTTCAACAAACTTGGAAAATAACTGCAGATAAGTATATCTTGAACATAGCTAAATGGAATTTGTCTTTCCAAAGTTTCAGTGTTTTGACGCATTCTGATAAATTTAAATGATTCATAAATACCAATATGGCAATCAGAATCAAGAAGAAATTATACCTACTGCTATATGTTGGATCTTGAAAAGTTGTTTCAAGCTAATCAGTGTTTTTATACCTGATCTGTGTCATAGTATGGCCTCTCAAAAGTATTTTTTAAATAAAATACTATCTGTTAACATATATGGCAGAAGACTGTTGAAGATTTACCAAAACTCTCTTCCTAATACCACAGTGCACACTTCTTCGTCTAAAGGAAGCCTGCCGTGTGCCTTCCTAACTTCCCTCCCTTCAGAATATGGCACCGAGGTCTAAAGCTACACACCAACTTCATCGTTATCTCACCACAGAGATACTGTATATGTTCATGTGTAAGCTGAGTGTTTCAGCACGTTTTATGCAGTGTTGTGGTAAAATAAGGAGTCTCAGCTGATATTCGGGTCGGCTTATACTCGAGTATATACGGTAAGGAGGAACTCCTTGGAAAGATACCCATCTGTTAGAGATCTAAAAGCTAATAAACCCAGGATGTTCCCAATTATTCTCAGAAATAAAAAAATTAAAATGAAAAAAAGAAAAAAAAAAACCCACACAAAAAAACAACATTGAGAGGCTCTGTGAGCAAGCAAATGACTATTATGGAACGCCTGCACCAAACGTTTCAGAGCAGAAATCCACAGGACGAAATCAGTTGACTTCTGCCGACTGACTATCATTCACTTTCCATGCTGCCATGACGTATGCAAACATGACGGATGATTTTGCATGATGAAATAATATGGCTACCAAACCACACTGCTCCGTAACTCTCACCTCTATCTCCTTTTCATAAAATGCATGTACGCTGACATGACTGTGTATCTCCCAAACGCAGCAGGACTGTGAGAAATATTATAATTTTTGAAATGAAAATATATTAGTATCAAAATTAAAGGACTTGACTGGGTACAAACTGATGGTCAAGAATGCAAGTGACACTGTACGTCAACCGAATTCAGTGTCTCGACTACTCATCTAAACCATGCAGTTTTAATTAAAAAATTTAATATTGACTTTCAGGGTCTGAATATATAAGAAATTTAACAATGATCTTAGAAAAATTTTCTTTGATAGACTACCTATTCCTCAGTTTTTCTTTTGATTTGGACTAGTGTTAATTTTTCTAATATGCATTAGTAAATAGCTGTAACATCACCTCACCATGAAAATAAAAATTAAGGTTAAAAAAATAATAAAGTTGGAGTTAAAGAGTTAACAAAAGGGATTAAAATAAAATGATGAAAAATGCCTGCCTTTTTTCAACAGTGGTTGAGTTGGAGTCTTGCCATCCTCTTCCTCATCTAGATTATATTTAAAAAACACAAAATATAGGTTAATTGCCTTTATATCAAGAAAATAATGAAAATGTAAATAGAGCACATTTGAAAACAAAGCAGTCTATGAAGCAACAGTCTATGAAAAATAATCAAGACTGAAGATTAATATTTTCTACCCTAAATTTTAGGATGTTAAAAAGCAAACACATCAAACCCATTCCCTACAGGGCTACAGAGAGCACCTATCCCTCGGTACCGTCCCTGTACAAGTGTCATGTAATCTTAGCAGAGTTTCTTAAACTTACACTTAAAATTAGCAGGAAAAAAGGCTTAGTGTGGCTCCTTGAGTACAATATGACCTAAAGAAAGGACCCTGCAGATTAACCAACCAATCTGAACAGTGCCACTGCATCCACGTGTAAATGACTGACAGGACTCTCAGAAACATTTGGTGAATATTTGATCACTTGTAAAAATTAATCATCACTTGAAATAATGTGGGATCTGGTCACAGAAGTCTTAAATTCATATGAAATGACAGGTTATAAAGCAGAGATTTATTTTCAAATATCTATTTTTTTATATGTATGCACACACATATGCCTATTTCATCAATTTGTATTTTCCTGGGGTTTAAAACCAAAAGCCAATGTTTTTTGCTGTCAGTTTATTCTGAGTCCCTAGGATCCTTCAGGGAAGAGCTAATCCACTCCTGTAGGACAATAATGAAAATGTAAATAGGCTTTACAAGGCTGCAAATCTTTCTGAAAGCCAACTGCAACATTCTTCTTCTGTGCAGTAGCCGATGGGTTTGAACTGCCCAAGTTTAGGTCAGCAATTGAGTGCTTAACCACTGAGACACCAGGGCTTCTTTCTGCTGCTTACAGTCTTATAAACCTCAATTTTTCCTTCATCTAAGCTTGTTATAGTGCATGTTATTGGTTTGTTTGTGGCACTTCATACTTCAGACCAGGACTGGAAAAGTTATATGCCACTGTAGTCCCAGGGCTCCAGTATTACCTCTACCCTCATTTTAGCTCTGTAAGCTTGAGCCCTCGTAGATCAAGAGGGTTACGAGGACTTCTCTCTTCAAGTTGTTTGATTGAGAGCACGAAGGCACTTAGTTCTGTGCCTAGCACACAGTAAGTCCTCCAAGGTGCTTTTGGTCTCCTTGCACAATGTCTGTTTCAAGAACCAAGGCAGACACAGGCAAATATGCAGGGCTAAGCAGTGACAGCAGAATGTTTATAATTCTATTTATAATTATTACTTTGAAAATAACTGGCTAAATAGGGGAAAAAATCCCACAAAATTAAGCTAATGCCATTTTTGAATGCTACTTATTTCTTATGCCTTTGGGGAGTAAAAAACATTATTTCATTTATAACTTTCTAATATTAAATAGTATGGCCCTTAGAGAAGATCTGGCTTTACTAATAAAAGCTTTTACAAATAAAACTATGAACTTCTGAATTCATTTTCAAGAGCTCAGAAATGTCAAGGATGTCTTGACATTAAAAAAAATTTTTTAGCTGAATTTAAAGCATTTGTATTTTAAGATACAAATTTAAGAAGAAACTAACTGACCTTGCTTCCTACTCTAGAAAAATAAGTGACCTCTTAAGACTGACACACATTCAAGAGTTAATACCTCGATAGTATTTACTATGTGGGTGCACTGCAGACGCTTAATATATATTACTTCTTCCTACACGCCCCTATGATTTCCTAATAGTCTGTGGAGAAAGGGTCTGTTTTAGGCAAGATAAAAGGACTACCAAAAAAAAAAAAAAGTTAAGAGGAAATGAAGGAATGTATACCATAAACTAAAAATAAACACAGGAACAGAAAAAAGAGTTACCAGAATCAGCTTATAGAAAATAGAAATTAGAATCAAGCCAGCAAAAGAACTGAAAGAAAAAACTGGGTCATAGCATTCAACTACTAGTCTACACAAACCAGGGAGACAAGCACAGAAACAAAGCAGCATTGAAGCTCTGAAATTTAGAAGTGATCCATTTCAAAGACATGACTGAGTTCAGAAAAAGCATGGTCATTATTTTACAGGGATCAAAAACGTGATATAGTTTGATGATTTACAGTACAGATTTTTCCTTGTTGCGTGTCAGGTGGGAATAAGGCAGACGGAGATACTAGACTGAACAGAGGTAGGAGAGTGAGGGTAGCAGAGTAGGATTTGGAAGTCATCCCTCTTTCCTTCTCGTAAGTTTGACATAGATACAGTATCCAGCAGTCACTGAAGAGTCTGAAGTGGCTTATCTGGTCACATACGTCATCATCAGGGTAATTATGAATTTAAAGGAATTATGGTCAAGTAGTTCAGCAACCAAGTATAGCCAGTTTCTTTAGACAGGGACTAAATTAACATATAAACTTGCATTTCATGTTTTACCTCAGAATTTTTTTGCGAGTGAGAATCTAGAGATGAAATAGATATAAAATTTTAACACAAAAAACAAAATCCCTTATGTGCATCCTGATTCTTAAAAAAAATTATGCAAATTAATTTAAAAACACCATTCTCGTCATGATGTTATATCATATTGCTACACCCATATGATTATGTTGCTTTCCAAGTTCAGATTGGACCCATACATCAAAGGAAAATATCTTATTCATGGCACATAGAAATGAATACACACAAGAGAAAATTTGCAAACAATTAATTGATATGATTTTGGTTTAACAATCTAGTTTTAATACCTTAAAATACCTAGTCACTTTGCAGCCATTTTTGCAAGGCATAAATTTTACCTGAGCAACCAGCAATGAACAGCACAAGTTTGAGAATGGATTACTTTAGACGTCATGCTATATAATAAAAATTATTCCCTCCCAATTAAAATGTTACCATTAAATAAGCTTCTTGTTTCAATGAACAATTACCTTTATGTTTAATAGTCTTTTCACCAGATTGTCTGGAAGCATCCAAGTCTGATGTTTTACTGCATTCCACACTTAGTACCACATCCTTGGCACCAGGAGATTTCTCTTGTGATGACACTAATTCTTCTGTGGACACAAAGCATTTAAAATATTATCTAATTCTTGTTTAACTGTTGGGGGAAAAAGAAAAGCATTATGGTTGAATCACACATAAACGACATTTTAAAGTAAGGGTCATTATGAGATAACAAATGTACTATGACTTATTTCTTATATACAAGCAAATCATTTTGAAATGAGAATTCACCTAAATATCTGAGTAAGAAGTACAGTCCCACACATTTGAATTAGGTGCTCAGGAATCGGTCATTAGTGAAATTCAAGGACCATTAGAATTGGGTGAAAATAACTATAAGTTATAAAATGTGAATAATTTACAATTTTAAAATGTAAATGATGACAAACATTTACATGTATGTTAGAAGAAAACACTGAAACATTACACTCTTGACTATAGATGAGCCAAAACCAGTCTTCCTGATGAGCTCATGGTGAGTCTTTTTTCTTCCTTTTTAAAGTAGTTTCATTTTCTGTCTTTCTTGGCAAAGAGGTATCAGTATTTAACTCCCATCATTAAAAACACGTATCACAAAGACAAGTATAATAGGAAGTGAACCGTCTGTTCCTATCATCGTCACTATTCACTAGTCAATGAAAGAAGCAGTAACAGAAGCAACCTGAGCTAAGGTGCTAGCACTATGCCAAGAGCCTCATCTTTTCAAGAGCGTATCTTATGCCAAGAGTTTGTCTCCCTTTCAATCTTCACAACAACCCTGGGAGGTAGTTTTGTTGACAGATGAGGTATGTGAGGCTCAAAAGTCAGCAAATTATCACATAGTATAAAATGATGCCGAGGAAAAGCTGGGACTTTTGATGTAGACCTGCTTGATTGTAAAGCTTGTGGTGTTATTTTTATCAAATATTGAAATGCATTCTTTTCTCTACATCTTACTGGGCCTTTTCAGATATATGGTTCATGATGATTATAATATTTGAAAATCTTTTTCAAAGTTTCAGTCAACGTCAAGTGTCTATAAATTATTCAATTATATACTTAGCCAAACTACTACTTTTGACAGCAAAAGGGAAGTCTACTAGTAATTATGCAGAAGTGCAGGTTTAAACCAGACACTAAACAAACCCTAAGTAAGAAAACGAACTTCTAAATAAACCCTACTCACTGCTACTGCAGCAGAGAATTCAAACAGATTCTTACAGTACTGTGCAAGGCTGACACTGCTGGGGAAGCAGTGGACTGTCAGAAAGGGTGGCTATTCCAACCCATGAGCTGCTCTGCAGGATAAAGATGATCTGTTTGCTCCAGTGAAGGTTTTCAGCCTTTAAAAGCCTGTATGGGACTGCTATGAGTCAGAGTCTATTCAATGGTTGTAGGTTTGGGTTTTTGGGGATTACAAAAGTTAAGGCCTTGCTAGCACAGTGCTCTAAGCAGTTGGTTGCTAATCAAAACACTGACAGTTTAACCCACAAATCTACAAGCTGTTAATTCTGCTCCTGTAAAAATCACAGCCTACTAAACCTTATGGGCTGGTTCTATTGTATACTTATTATGCATCGGGAACAAATTGAAGGCACACAAAACAAAGAATAAGAAAATACATTTTTAGTAAGTCACATTTTTGTGTCACATGGTGATTTCAAAGCATCCCTTTTATAACTCCAGGATGGGGTAGTGGTGGTGGGAATTAAAACAGTACAAGTGTATAAACAAGTAACAAAAGTTCATTATATGTGTCTGGTGCTGGCACAGCCTTAATTGAGTGCTAATTTGGTTAAGTGACTGATAAGGAAATAATGAGTACACAAAATTTTCTTAAGTCTACATTTTTTAAAACTACCAGGAAATAGCAAAAGGCTTTAGCAATTTCTGTAACGTTTTATAACAAGATGACATAAGCAGTAATCACCTTTAACTAGGTGACAACCTTCATTTAAAAAAGAAAAGCCTTAAAAAATTATCAAATACATGACTGCATTTACCAGCCGGACTATAGTTAAAAAAAAAAAACTATGAACAAATTCCTATTCACACTGCATATCTTATTTTGAAGTAAAAAAAACAAATGGGGCAAAAACACCCTGTGGGCGGGATAAATGTCCTCGGTGGGCCACATGTGGCCCATGGGCTGCAGTTTGAGGACGCCTGAATTTTAGCCACATAAAATATTTCCATTGTACAATTATAACTATGTTTGTTTCCCCTGAACTTGCAGCTGGGGTTGAGTAAGATTCCATAATAACCACTTCAAGAACTGTGGCAGTTACATAATCTACTGTCAACTTCAGCAAAGGGGTGGCGTGGTAGTTATATAATCATTTGTCAATTTGAGAGGATTAAGAGTAAAGGGGTGGAGTCTGTCAATCAGGTCATAGCCAATGAGGCCTGTGTGGGAATGGCCTTTTCCTGAGGATTCTGGGAACTCCTGTATTCCTCCATGGAGGTAGGAGACACTTTCAAGCTCAGCTCATAACCTGGGAGACACTGCAGCTGACAAGACACATGTAACTACCCTAGTGCCCTGAGCTGGAGGAACCATGTGGAGACCCCTGCCAACACTGAGATGCCTCTACCGCCACTGGATCCACAATACTTTTCACCTGGCCTGTGATCTTCCTGCATTCAGCATCATTGCAACGTGTTACATGAGTCTGAAGAGGAATCCATAGACTGGTGCTGGACATATGGGCTAATATCGGATTTATGGGCTTGGACTGGACTGGGCTGGGATGCATTCTTAATCTACAATTGCTCTCGTATATAAACCTCTTTCTTATACACGTGTCGATTAATTTCTCTAGTCCACTCCGACTAACACAGGTGGAATCTAGGCTGTCAATCAGGTCATAGGCAATGAAACCTCTCTGTGGGCATGGCCTTCTCCTGAGGATTCTGGGTGCTCCTGTCTTCCTCCTAGGAGGCGGGACACTCTCTCCCTGGGAGACATTCCTGTTGACAAGCCACACGGAGTTATGCTGATGGAGCCAGAGCCTTGGAGCTGGAGGAGTCACGTGGAGACCCACACCACCACTAGACCCACAAGACTTTCCAGCCCCTGGCTGGTGATTTTCCTGCATTTGGTGTCATTGTATGTGTTGCATGAGTCTGAAGAGGAATTTATAGACTGGTATCGGACATATGGGCTAATATGGGTTTTATAGACTTGATCTGGGCTGGGATGTTTTCTTAATATACAATTACTCTTTGATAGAAAGCTCTTTCTTACACATATGAGTGTCTGAATTTGTTTCTCTAGTCACCCTGAGCTAACACACTAACCATTATCTAGGTAAATACCAACACAAGACAGTTTGCCTGTCAAAGATGTGATCTTAAGATATCACAGAGTAAGACCATGGCATTGATAATTAACTACTGAAATTACTGAATAATTTGTTGTGAGAATATATAGTTTTCTAATAATTCTTTAATAAAAAATATTTTCAACAAGAAGTACTTTACCTTGTCCTTGAAGATGAGATATATCCAGACCTTCTTTTAAGCGGATAACCACCACTCCATATTGGATATCAAAGGCATCACTACAATGATGGAAAGAGAGGGGGTGGGGAGGGAACTTTCAGTTTAAAATTTCTAACTTAAATATGCCTTAAAATTTACCTGAGGGGATCTGTATAATGTCAATTTCAAATACTACACCAGTTAGTTTCTTTCTCTTCTTCTGTAATACCCATGAGACTAAATAAGAGCAGTTCTTTAAGCAGCAATCTGCTAACAGCAGTATATACATTCTGTCAGAATCAGCCCCACTGAAATTATGCATCAGTAGTTTTTAGTGATCCCCCCAGGTCTGTTTTTGAGGCTATGCACTTAAAACCCCAAGAAGCAAGTGCGGACAAGGAAGAAAGCCTTTGCTAGAATGAGAAAAGGTTGCAGGATATGTAGAGATCATTCGGAAGAGAAAGTCTGAAATAATTTTTTTCCCCCTCCATGTTGGGTCTATGCCCTTTAAAAAAAAATCATTTTATTAGGGGTTCATACAACTCTTATCACAATCCATACATACAGCAATTGTGTAAAACGCATTTGTACATTCATTGCCCTCATCATCCTCAAAACATGTCCTCTCCACTTAAGCCCCAGGCATTAGATCTCATTTTTCCCCTCCCTCCCCGCTCCCTGAAATAATTTTTAAAAATTGCTTTTTACATAATTTCCCTAAAAAATAGTCCAAAGGTTTTGTACATATTCATTTGGAAACATATTATTTTCAAATGATTTTAACCATAGCTAGAAATATCCTTTGCACCTAAAGAATACATTGAAACCAGAAAGGCAGTAAACACAGGCTTAATTAAAATCTGGGAA